TCTAGTGGATTTGATTTTGGCTGTCACTTTCTTATTCTGAGTTTAGTAACCCAAACTATCTTGAAAAGTTGGTGAGAACTGGTGGGTTTGACTGTTCTTGCTTTTGCAACAGATGCACCCTGAGTGTGACACTGGAGCAGGCCATCATTCTGGCCAGAAGCCATGGGTTGCCTCCTCGCTACATCATGCAGGCTACCGATGTGATGCGGAAGCAGGTGAGTCTCACGCATACCACATTTCAGAGGAGTTGGGTTACAGGGCCTGAATTTAAAGGCTCTTTCCTCATGTATTTGACAAGTGCCTGGTTCCTAAGTTCAGTTGTGAAGAAGAAACACTCCCAGGGAAGACATTCAAGCACCTAAATGAAGAGTCTCCAAGAAATTAAGACAATTCTGGAAAAAGGAATGTCTATGAGGGGACATTGGTGAGTCAGTGGTTCCATTCCCAGACAGTACACTTCAAATGCAGCCACCGCCCATCTGTCAGTGGAAACTTGCTTGTTGCTATGATGCAGAGGAACTTCCAGATGAAGATAGAATAGGCAGAAAGGCCTAGCAATCTACTTTCAGAAAATCAGCTAATGAAAACCCTATGGATTACAACAGTCTGATCCGCAGCCCCTCATGGGGATTGTATGAGACCAGGCAGCATTTCCTTCCATTGTGCATGGGACTGCTGTGAGTCAGGAGCCTACCTGATAGCAGCTAACAACTAAAACAACCAACTGTAACCTGAAGGAGGAAAGGGAGTTGGCCAGGCAAAATAGGGCAAGAGTGGATTCTTATCTTATGTAAAGGACAAAATAAGAGGAAATGTGGCATTGTTCGGAAATTGCAGGTGTTTTAATAAAACTGGGAAAATAGCTTGGGGGTAGGGCAGAGGACAAGGAAGAAGAAGAAAGAATCAAGGCCCCTGCTCATTTCTGGAACTCTCATAGGTATTTGTGTGCCGTGCAGAGAAGTTTGTGTTTTGTTCTGAGAATACAGTACCTACCTAAAATTTTACTTTAAAGGACAAATAGCTGACTTTGGATTGTCTTTAGGTCACTGAGATAGTTATAAATGAGAACATAATCACATAAAATGGAATATAGTTTCTATACAATAACCCAAGTAGTATTTTAAGTGTGGTAGTTTTGTTTTTAATTCTTAATGATTTTTTTTTTTTTAATTAGGATTTGGGTGAAGAATTCTTAATGATTTTTTAAGAAGGTATCATCAAAAATATACTAATTTATTTCTCCTTAACTGATAATTAGGAAAATGTGCTTAATCTAATAGAAAACATATTTAACCTAGTAGAAAAGACAAAGAAGTTGAAAAGCTTCAATTTTGTTTTCTTCTGCCACCTTTTCTTGGGCTATCACAAAAAAATTGATTCATCAGATTTCCATACTTGCTGAGTTGATTTGAATTGCTCAATGGTAGTGAGTGATTTAATTTTTAAAATATGATTTTATGGTTTTGATTATTTTATTTATGAAAGATTTAATGTATCATTCTTAGGCACATATAGAAATCCCTTTGGGCTTGCTCCTAGGATAACACACTCTAGAATGTACACAAAGTCAATTAAAAAAAAAAAAAAAATCAACTGAATCATTCATGAGTGAGGCCAGTACCAAGTTAAGGTGTGAAATACAAAGATCAGGTATAGTAAACACATATACATTAGTGTCTGGGGTTAGGAACCTGAGAGCTGATGACCGAAAATCACCATCTCAGGAAGATCCATGTGGAATTTGCTATGTAAAAGGTTAAATCAACTTATGACTCACTGTAGCCCAGCTGGCACAGGACAAATACAGATGCAAACTGCCAGTAGGTATAGGAAGGAGTTTTTTTAGAATGGACTTACAAATTCTATTTTTAAAAGTAGATGAAAGTAAATTTATGATGATCTGTATCATGATTGGGATGTGGGGTGATAATATATGCACAAAGACTAAACTTCTTTGCTTAACTCTGCTGCTGTTAGTGTTTGTAGTAAGATTTAAAGGAAGAATCTCACAATTATGATTTATGGCAAGAAAAAGGGACTAATATTAATCTTTTTAGAATATTCTACTAAGGGGGTCATTGTGACTTGGCTTCATATACATTCCAACTCTATATACTTGAATAGTCATAACTATTAGTTATTTAAAAAAAAGCACTGCCATTGAGTTAGTTTCAACTCATAGAAACCCCCATTGGGTTTCCAAGGCTGTAAATCTTTACAGAAGTATATTGCTTCTTCTTCTCCTGTGGAGCAGCTGGTGGGTTTGAATTGCTAACCTTCTAGTTAACAGCCAAATGCCTTACCCACTACACTACCAGAGCTCCTGTTAGTTATTAGTATAACTAATATCTTTAACTACTTATAACTGAAGAGAAAATAAAATTATGCTATGTAAGCCTAATGAGTAGTATGGCACAGTGGTTAAGTGTTAGGCTGCTAATCAAAAGTTTGGCAGTTTGAACCCACTAGCTACTCATGTACTTCCCTAAATATTACACTTTGGAAAACCCTCTGAAGCAGTTCTACTAACACTGTGAGTCAGAATTGACTCAATGGCAATGTTATTTGTTTGTTTGTTTGTTTGTTTGTTTAATGACTAACATAAGGTCCCTGAATGCACAAATGCTTTACACTTGATTGCTAACATAAAGATTGGCAGTTTAAACTCACCCAGTGTCACCACTAGGTGATAGAAAGAAAAGACTAGTAGTAATTTGCTTTGGTAAAGCTTACAGCAAGGAAAACCCTGTGGAGCAGTTTGACTCTGTAACATGCACCATGAGTCCAAATTGATTCAATGGCAAAGAGTTAGGTTGCAATGACTACTATCACTGGCACAAACCTCTGAAATAGCCAGTAATGAAAAGTTATGAAGCTAACTATAACATTCTGCTTGTTTTCTAAACTACATGCTTTTCCTGGTATTATCACTTATTTTTCTAAAAAACAAATACATTTAGAATAGGTAGCTTCCTTCTTTTATGACTTGTTCCTCTGCTGTAAGTTAAGACATCTCAAAATGGTTGTGAGAGGCAAAGAATGTGATTCTACTTCTCTGTGAAAGATCAGAGCACCTGGGACACTCTTCAGGGAAACTGAGGCAGACTGATGCAAAGCTGAGGTTATTGCAATATTTCTTCTGTGGCTGATTCTCTTTCCAACATAAGCCAACACTATTCCACTAGGGTTCTGAGCTGTTATATGCAAGTCTGAATCAAAGACCAGGAATTGACAAAATACCCATTAAAATGTTTCAACAAATGGGTGCAATGCTGGAAGTGCTCACTTGTTTATGCCAAGAAATTTGGCAGATAGCTACCTGGCCAACTAACTGAAAGAGATCTGTTTTTGTACCTGTGTCAAAGAAAGGTGATGCAACAAAATGTGGAAATTATCAAACAATGTCATTAATATGACATTCAAGTAAAGTTTTGCTGAAGATAATTCACAAATGATTGCAGCAGAAATTCTAACTAGATTTAGAAGAGGATGTAGAATGAATGATATCATTGCTAATGTCAGATGGATCATGGCTGAAAGTGAAGAACACCAGAATTATGTTTACCTGAGATATATTGACTGTACAAAGGCATTTATCTGTGTGGATTATAACTAATTATGGATAACATTGCAAAGAATGAGAATTCCAGAACACTTAATTGTGCTCATGAAGAATCTACATAGACCAAGAGGCAGTGAACAGAACAAGGGCATACTGTATGGTTTAAAATCAGGAAAGGTGTGTGTATCCTTTCACCATAGTTATTCAATCTCCCTGCTGAGCAAATAATCTGAGAAGATGGACTACATGAAGAAGAACTTGGGCTCATAATTGAAGGAAAACCATTAACAACTTGTGATATGTGGATGATGACACAACCCTGCTTGCTGAAAATGAAGATTTGAAGCACTTACTGATGAAGATCAATGACAGTAACCTTCAATATAGATTATATCTCAATATAAAAAGATTCCACACAACTGGACCAATAAGCAACATTATGATAAACAGAGAAGAGATTTAAGTTGTCAAGGATTTAATTTTTCTTGGATCCTCAATAAATAGCCATGGAAGTAGCAGTCAAGAAATCAAACAACGTATTGCATTAGGCAAATATGTTACAAAAGACCGCTCTGAATTGTCAAAGAGCAAAGATGTCACTTTGAAGCCTAGCTTATGCCTGACCCAAGCCATGGTATTTTCAATCACTTCATGTGTATATGAAAGCTGGACAATGAATAAGGAAGACCTCAGAAGAATTGATGCATTTCAATTGTGATGTTGGCAAAGAATATTGAATATACCATGGACTGCTGGAAGAATGAACAAATCTGTCTTGGAAGAAGTATAGCTGGAATGCTACTTAGAAGTGAGAATGACCAGACTTCATTTCTTATACTGTGATCATGTTATCAGAAGGGACCAGTTACTTAAGAAGGATATGGTGCTTGGTAAAGTAGAGGGTCAGCAAAAAGGAGGAAGACCCTCAACAAGGTGGATTGACACAGTGGCTGCAATGATGGGCTTAAGCATGATAATTATTGTGAGGATGGTGCAGAACTAGGCATTGTTTCAATCGGTTGTACATAGGGTCACTAGGGACCGAACTGACTTGACAACACCTAACAATAGCAACATAGTTGAATTCAGAGTGGATTATACCAGTTGCTGTATTCACCATGCTGAGCATCATCAGTGTTATTTAAGACCCTTTAAGCAAGTAAAAATGATTCTATAAATTACTTGATGAGGCACTATGAGACTAAAGACAAAAAGAATTATACAAAAATACTGTAGTTACTTAATCTGTTTCTCAGAGTGATACAGTTTAGAAATTATGAAACTACTTAATGTGTATACTAGAATTGACTAAATTACTGGATGTATTTTAAATAATTATCACTAGATTTCTGACTGATAAAGATGTTACAAATAAGGAAAGAGGAACAACTAGAGTGAACCTTGTAGTATTGGATTAGAATTAAAGATATTAGTTTGAACTGATAGATACATGGATGGGTGGATGGATGAATGGATGGATGGATGGGCAGGTGAGTGGGCAGACAGACAAGTAGATAGACAGACAGATAGACGGATGTGGAAACAATATATTGTAGTTGTTAGCTGCCATGGATTTGGGTCCAGCTCTTAGTGACTCTATGTACAGAATGAAACACACTGCCCAGTCTTGCACCATCCTCACAATTGCTATATTTAAGCCCATCGTTGTAGCCACAATGCCAGTCCATGTCCTCGAGAATCTTTCTCTTTTTTGCTGACCTTCTACTTTACCAAGCACGATGTTCTTCACCAGGGACTTGTCTCTCCTGATAACATGCACAAAGTACATGAGACAAAGTCTTGCCATCTTAACCCTGAAGAGCATCCTGGCTGTACTTTCCCCAAGACAGATATGAAGAAAAAATTCAAGCTTCAAGTTGCAATATTGAAGGATTCTCTGGACAAGATATTGAACAGCACATTAAGCATCAAAAGAAGATGGAAAGAATATACAGAATCACTGTAACAAAAAGATTTAGTTGATGTTCAAACATTTCAGGAGATACCATGTGATCAAGAACCAATGCTATTGAAGGAAGAAGTCCAAGCTTCATTAAAAACACTGGCTAAAAACAAGACTTCGGGAATTGACAGAATACAACTTGAGATGTTTCAACAAATGAATGCAATACTGGAAGTAGTAATTCATCTATTCCAAGAAATTTGAATGATAGCTACCTAGGCAACCAACTGGAAGAGATCCATATTTTTGCCCATTCTAAAGAAAAATTATCCAAAAAAAATACAGAAATTATTGAAAAATGTCATTAATATCACAAGCAAGGAAAATTTTGCTGAATATAATTAAAAAATGGAAGCAACAGTGTATTGACAAGGAACTGCCAGAAATTCCAGGTATATTCAGAAAAGCTCACAGAATGAGGGATATCATTGCTGATGTCAGATGGTTGTTAGCTGAAAGCAAAGAATACCAGAAAGATATTTACCTATGTTTCATTGCCTATGCAAAGACATATGATTATGTGAATCATAACAAATTATGGATAACAATTGTGAAGAATGGGAATCTCAGAACACATAGTGCTCATGAGGAACCTGTAGATAGACCGAGAGTCAGTCATTCAATCAGAACAAGGACACATTGTTTGGTTTTAAATCAGAAACAATATAGATATTTGAATATGTTCACATGAATAAATCAGCTCTGTAGAAAGGAGCTAGAAATAATTATATCCAATTAGTAATGAGCCCATCTAACATTTGGGTGTAAATCACTATTCTTCAGTGAAAAGACCCAGGGAATTTTGGAGAAGTTGCTAATTCCGAACTAGGACAGGAAGAAAATAGGATGAACCTGGAACATCCTGAAATGCCTGAAAATAAGAAAGTGCTACAATGATGGAATATCAAAAAGACACAAGGTGACCTGAAGAAGCTCCTAGTGAGCAAAGCTAAAACAATTTGAACAACAAAATTAATAATAATAACAATATTGGATTATAACTCATAGAATAAAATAAATGAGTCTATATTTAAGTAAATAATTGAATAAATAAATACATTGAGCAGAAGGATTAATTATTTACAGAAGAATCCCAATTAATAAATACTACATGGTTTAAAATCAGGAAGGTAGTACATCAAGGTTATATCCTTTCATCTACTTATTCAATCTGTATGCTGAACAAATAATCCAAGAAGCTGGACTATATGAAGAAGACCGTGGCATCAAGATTGGAGGAAGACTCATTAACAACCTGAGATATGCAGATGGCATAACTGCTTGCTGAAAGTGAGGATGACTTGAAGCACTTATTGATGAAGTTTGAAGGCTACAGTCTGCAGTATGGATTATACTGCAACATAAAGAAAATGAAAATCCTCACAACTGGACCAATAAGCAGCATCACAATAAATGGAGAAAAGATTGAAATTGTCAAAGATTTCATAGTACTTGGTTCCATAATCAAGATCAATGGAAGCAGCAATTAAGACATCAAACAACATATTGCACTGGGCAAATCTGCTGCAAAAGACTTCTTTAAAGTGCTGAAAAGCAAAGATGTCTCCTTGAAGACTAAGGTGCGCCTAACCCAAGCCATGGTATTTTCAATTGCCTCATATGCATGTAAGAGCTGGACAATGAAAAAGGAAGAGTGAAGAAGAATTGATGCTTTTGAGTTGTGGTGTTGTCAAAGAACACTGAAAGTACCATGGACTGCCAAAAAGAATGAAAAAATCTGTCCTGGAAGAAGTACAGCTGGAATGCTCCTTGGAAATGAGAATGGCCAGACTTTGTCTGCCCTACTTTGGTCATGTTGTCAGAAGGGACCATTCCCTGGAGAAGAGTATCACTTGGTAAAGTGGAGGGTGAACAAAAAAAAGGTAAGGCCCTCAATGAGATGGATTGACACAGTGATATGGCATGGATTATGAGACTGACACAGGACTGGGCCATGTTTCATTCTGTTGTACATCGGGTTGCTATGAGTTGGGACTGACTCAACAGCACCTAACAGCAACAACAACAACACAGATTATTGTTGCAGACATCTAGCAATGGATGCTAAAATCAATGGATAAAAGTTTTAAGAGAAACAGGGTATTTACCCAGTGTCAAAGTATCTCCCCCAAGATATTTATTAGTTACAAAGTGAAAGATAGTGGAAATAATCTGAGAAGATAACGCCTTAACCAAATGCTTGCTCAAAGTTAATTTCACCAGTGATAAGACATGGACATCATGTATCTCCTCCCACCCTCATATGATACACTGAGAAAGATACAACATCAGTTAGGTAGGTTTCTTGCCAAAAATGCATATCCTCATGAGACATACGCAAATTGAGACACATCTGTAGAATTTTGGCATATACTCTTCAAGAGCATCAAGGTCATGAAACCTGAGGAATTGTCACATATTGGAAGAGACTAAGGACATATGACAACTAAATGCTATGTGGGATCACAAATTGGATCCTGGAACAGAGAAGGGATATTAATGGGGAAAAATCATGGTAGAATTTAAGTGAAGTGTGATGTTTACTCAATAGTATTATACTACCATTAATTTCTTAGATTTGCTAATTTAGAGTATGATTAAATAAATTTTAAACATTAAGAAAAGTTGGGTAAAGTATGACAACTCTTTCTTCTATTTTTACTTTTGTTTAGGTCTAAAATTATTTCAAAATAAGAAATTGTTTTAAAAAGTGCTTACTGGCAATTCCCAACCTACTTCCCCCCTGATTTTTGCCACTCCCTTCTCCTTCTGTTTCCTTTCCTTTCTTCACTCCATTCTAGATAATAAATTCTCTTAGTTTCTCCTCCTTTTTTATCTCCCCTTCCCTAGGTCAGAATTTGGTAGTAGGAGGAAGAGTTTCCAAGTTTCTATTCTTTCTTCATCTTCTTTTTTTTTCAAATCCTTTATTGTATTTTTGGTGAAAGTATACACAGCAATACAGATCTCCAGTCAGTAATTTTTACACATCTTGGTCAGTGACATTAGTTCACTTTTCACATTGTGTCAACACTCTCATTATTTCCATTCTAGCTGTTCCAGTCCCATTTACTTAGCCTCACTGTCCACCCACCCCCACCCCAATCTTCTCATTCATACTTTAAAGTAACTGTTGACCATTTGGTTTCATATAGATATTAAAAAGAGAGAGAGAGAGCATAGTACTCAAGGGGAACATTCTTTATGTTCTGAATTAACCTACTATTTACTAAAAAGTAACTAGAAGGGATAGCTTTGGTTCAAAGTTTGAAGAGTATCTCAGGGCTCAAAGTTAACCCTTTCCAGCAAAAAACCCTAGTGTTTGGTCCTATGGATTAAATAATTCCCATAAATAACTGAACAAGGATTATAATTTGATTCATGAATTTAACAGATCATAAAGACTTTTTTATTACTAAATTTCCTTTTTACTGTAAACTCTAAGATAAAATTCTTATATTTCAGAGATCCACAGGGACATGCTTTGTCTAGACATTGCTTTAGAAACAGAAAAAGATTTTCTTGCTAACTACTCCAAAAAAACCAAACTCACTGCCATCAAGTCTGTCCCGACTCATAGTGACGTCTCCTTGGGTTTCTTAGGCAGTATCTGGTAGCCTAGTGTCTAAGACACTTGACTGCTAACCAGAAGGCTGGCAGTTCAAACCCACCAGCCACTTCTCGGAAGGAAGGCTGGGCAATCTACTTCCATAGTGATACTGTCTCGGAAACCCAAGGAGGGGTCGCTATGAGTCGAGTCTGACTCGACGGCACATAACAACAACAACAATCTCTATGGAAGTAGATTGCCCAGTCTTCTTCCTTCCTGCCCAGTCTTCCTTCTGAGGAGTGGCTGGTGAGTTGGAACCTCCAGACTTCTTCTAGTTAGCAGTCAAATGCCTTAGGCACTAGGCCACCAGAGCTAACTACTACAAAGTTTAAAATAGCTAGCTTTTCAGCTAAAGATAAAGCAAGTATGTGAGGGTGATAGGATCTCTGTTTTAGGAAAGTAGCAACACACAGCAGGCAGTTAAAGTCTTCCCGTTTCCTATTTTCCTCCTCCTCAGTATTGGTCTCAGGGATAAAGACATGGATATGATAGTTAACAGGACGCTTAAAGTTACTTTCAATGATTTAGTTGATTGTAGAAATAAATATTAATCCTTTGAAATAACACATCCGCAAATTTTGAATTAAAAATGTTAATTTTAAAGAGTTCATTTGGTGATTTCTCTCCTCCTCCTCTTTTAACCCTTCTTGATGTTAAATACATCCTTGGAGTCAATCTTCTAAGTACAAATGTTAATCATATGTTAAATAATTGCTAACACAATATAGAACTAAAAGTAATTTTCCTTACTTTCAGGGAGCAAGAGTCCAGAACACAGCAAAGAATTTAGGAGTCAGAGACCGTACCCCACAGTCTGCTCCGAGGTAAGTGTGTTCCCAAGTCTGCTACTTTCCAAAAGCATTTGCCGGCATTTTCCAGGGAGTGTCACTAACAGCTAATGCAATGTCTCTAGGATATGCCCAGTTTAGAACTCATTATAATAATGGGAATTACCCTTGTAAAGACCCTGTGGTTAAATATGATTAGGCATAAATGCTCTAGAATTAAATGGAATCTCAGGGGAAGCAAATTTAGAAGTAGCAAATTTAGAGGTCTTGATGTTATTTGATTTTACAGATTCCATCATAAATTCAAAAACAAAAGTCCACTCCAGTAGGACTGAAATTTGTAATCTACCTATGCCAATCTACCAAAATACCATTTTTATTTACATCTCTATGACTTTGCATATGCTGTTCCCTCTGACATTTTTGCCTTTCCCATTTATGTCTGGAAGGAAAAGTCTTACTTAAACACAAATTCAACTCAGATGTCATATCCTCTTTGAAGTTTCCCCTGAATTTCCTCTGTTCCTACATGCTACTTTAGCATAGCATCTTGTATGTTCATCTATTACAGCCCTTATCATATTGGGTTGCAGTATATTATTACATGTTGCTTTGCTCAACTTTAATATGAATTCTTTACAGGTAAGTTTTTCAGATTTTACTCATTGTTCATCTTAGTGCCTATATACCAAAACCAAACCAAACTCACTGCCAACTCATAGAGACCCCTCCTTGGGCTTCTGAGGTGGTATCACTATGGAAGTAGATCACCCAATCTTCCTTCCAAGGAATGGCTGCTGGGTTTGAACTGCGAGCCTTCTGGTTAGCAGTCAAATGCCTTGGGCACTACTCTACCAGAGCTCCTAGTGCCTATATAATACACTCAAATATCTGAAATGATTTCAATGATTTGTGATGTGAGTGAATAAATGAATGGATGACTTTTTTGTTCATTATCATGCTAAATATTCACAGTTCACATGTAGTTCTAAGAAAGGACTCCAGTCCACTTTTAAAATGAATGCTTATGGGAACAGCCATCAAAGAAATACCTTTGGTTTGATTGGGGAGCTCTGGTGGTGCAGTGCCTAAGGCATTTATTTGATTGCTAACCAGAAGCTTGGCAGTTCAAACCCACCAGCCACTCTGGGGAAGGAAAATGGAGCAATCTACTCCAGTAAAGATTCACTACCTTGAAAACCCAATGAAGTTGCTATAATTCGGAATCAATGTGATGGGAGTGGTGGGTTGGTTTGATTTCCCTAGTGGTAATAAGATAGGTAGCCATCTATCTTGAAGTGGGCCAGAGATAAATAATTTATTTTACTTTGCACTGCTTTTATACATTTGCATTTTAACAATAAATAGACTCCTACAAGCACTGTCAGAGACAGTGCATTTTTATTTGTTCTACTTACAAAGCAGTTACCAGAGTGACGATGATGACTGAAGCATTTATGAAGTTATATTTCATTTTGAAAAACTATGTGGCCAGTGAAAGTGCTTTCAGAAGGGAAAACATATTCCTACCCACCTCCTCTTAAAATGGATGGAGCATTCATGCTTTAATTGCATTTACTTTTAATGCTGACGTCTAGTCTCTTTAATCCTCAGGTCTTGCTAATGTTATCTTTCATTGTTGATTAGATTAAAATCTAAGGCTTTCTATTGCTAAAGAATCATTTCACCTGGCAATCTCTCTAGCACCTTGAACAGACATGGTATATTTAAATAATAGGCCCGCTGAAGTGTTAAAATTCTGATGAGAAAACAAGATAATGGCTCAGCAGGGTCTTCTTTGCTAGAGCTTATAAACACTAATAAACTGTGAGATTAGGATACAACTCCAGCATCCTGATCAATAAACCAAAACTCAAGCTGAACACAAGGACAGAAACTGATGAATTCACTTTTTTTCTTTATTGGGTTATGCACTGAAGCAATTGAAACAATAAAATGAGCCAGCTGCAAAGCTGACCTTTTTTTCACAAGGGAATAACAACCCAGAGAAAGACATTGAAAGTACTTTTTCAGACTTATTTTATTCATTCAACAATTCATTCTACTAATATTTACTGAGTACTTAACAGTTAATTACAAAGCAATTGCTCTGCCCTACAGAAAATATAAGCATGAGCTAGAAATAGCTACAGCCCTCAAGAAACTTCCAGTTAAAAGAAAGAAAATGAGTGAAAATATTAACCATTTAACTAGATACCACTGATTCAATTCTGCATCATGGTGATTCTGTAACTGTCAGAGTAAAGCTGTGCTCCACAGGCTTTTCAATGACTGATTTTACTCAATTAGATCACTAGGTCTTTCCTCCACGTCACAACTCCAACTTCCAATCTTTCAGTCAGCAGCTGATCAAGTTAACCGTTTGCACTACCCAGGCATGCTAGAGATGTAGGCCAAGGCCAAGTAAGTGAAGACATTGTAGGAGGTACTGAAGAATTTGAATTATAACTTGAAGACATTAGGGAGGCTTTGATAAACAGTCTTCCTATCCAGATGATATGATTTCAGATTTTATTGCTAGCAACATTAAGAGGACAACTAAAA